GTGTGTGTGTGTGTGTGTGTGTGTGTGTGTGTGAGTGTGTGTGTGTGTGTGCGTGTGTGTGCGTGCGTGCGTGCGTGTGTGTGTGTGTGTGTGTGTGTGTGTGTGTGAGTGAAATGCCTACAGACTCCAAGAATTTCCTCGAGTACGGACAGCAGCACCATTCGCTGTTTCTCAGACCACAAACATCACAGAAAAGAACTGTCTCCTGTCTCTCTCTCTCTCGTTGTCTTCAGTGGCAGAACTTCCTGTGTAATGAAGCACAAGATGAAAACAGGAAGTAACTCGTCCACGAACACAGGCCGCTGCCCTTCCCCCAGCGCCGCCACTTATATAAGCTGTGTATGCTATTTGTTTAGTTTTATTCATCAGTGATGATTCATATCCGCTGGGAAATACTGAAATGTAAATAGGGGTTTTTTGGTGAAGCTAAACAAACGTCCTTTATGTTTTCCAGACTCAAGTTCTAGTTTAAAGCAAGACACAACTGGGGTAAAATGTTAACAGATCTCACCATACTTCTCTAGTTAAAGAATGACAATCGTTTTGTTTTACAAGTTTTCAAGTAAATTTGTGAGTGAGGCATACTCTAATTAAATGCACACTCATTTGCATACATTTCCAGAAAGGAAGCATTTAGTGTCATGCCTTAAAACATACATTTTAATGTGTTTATATATGAAGAAATAGAAACATTTCTATTTGCTCTGAGAACAATTAGTGAATAATGTGAAACAACATCTGAAATTTGGCCAAATTTAGATTCAGATGGGATTCAAATCCATTATTTTTGAATGCTATATAATAATCTTTTAGTATAAGACAGAAATGTAGTTTTGATATCTGAATACTGAACTGAACTCGACTCGGTTGGGTTTGCAGAGTCGCTGTGGGATCTGATTGCAGTACGTTCATGTGTGTTTACAGCTCTGAAGATAGTGATAAATGTTCTGCAGGTCAAGGGTACATATCATATGATTCACACCCTGATACCAGAGAACACGCCTGATGAATCAGACATACTTGTGCAATGACGAAAGGATGTTCAATTCTTTATGGCAGTGAACTTGAATAGAATAGAATTTCAGACTCATTCCACCCACTGCTAACCAGAGTGACTTCAGTGTCAAAAAGCTGAAGGAGTGTTTGGAATTTCAACTAGTTTTAGCCACCCACAAAACAGCAGTGAAGAAACTCCAGCTGCACTCACACACACAGGGAATCATGGGTAATGAATGAGGTGATGTGAAGTTTCCAGAGCTGCTGAACATCTGATCTGACACACACACACACACACACACACACACTCACACGTCTGCACTTCCTGCTGCTCTCTGACTGGTTCTGACTGTTCTTCCTTCCCTTAGCAACAGGGACTTTAAAAAGCTACAAAAACAAAGTTTCTCAGAAGTCAGCTGACGGTCGAGTTTGCGTGTGTGTGTGTGTATGTGTGTGTGAGTGAGTGAATGTGTGTGTGTGTGTGTGTGTGTGTGTGTATGTGTGTGTG